TTAGGGATTAAGTCACCATTGGCCATTGGAAAGGAATTGTTTTACATGAAAACTGAGCATGTTTTACATAGTGTAAAACATCCCAGCTTCTTGTGCCCCAGCCTGCTCGCTGGCGGGCGGTGTGAGAAGCAGAAAAGGCCTTGATGCTGTGTGAGCACCACTCAGCAGCAGCCAAAACATCCCTGTATTATCAACACCGTTTTCAGCACAAACCCAAAACACAGCTCCATACTGGCTGCTGTGATGAAAATTAACTCTACCCCAGCCAAAACCAGAACACTTTTCCATTCACAGCCAGCAGCCTTACCAGTTACTCAGTCACTCCCATATGACAGATTTCTCCTTCCTTTCTGTCAAACTATTCATCACTTTTCTCCGCTTTCCTTCTGAACGTTTATGTATGTACAACCTTCACCTCACTTGAACTTCTTACTTCATTTTCATCCTCTCGAAATAAAACCCAACTAGTTCAGGAAACTTGTTGACTTCAATCTTACTTCCAACTAAATATTTTTTGTGGAGCACCAACTTTGCTATATGTTAGGTAACACTGGTCAAATTACAAGACCTGAAAGACACTGAAATAATAAAAGCTTGTTGCAATTTGTAATACTGCAAAATATTCCAAACAAGGAAATCACATCATTGGTAGCATTAAGCAATTCAAGGTCTAAAAATCATGTATTTATTTAAAAAAACACCATTAACATATTTTTTCTCTAAATTCATCAGACATTCTCAGGTTATTTTCTAAGTTTTTTTGCAAATGAAGCTGAAATACACATTTCCACAAGGTCTGAGAAACATTAAGAAATTCAACATAGAAATGCAAGGGTTTTCAATAACAACCATGCGAGTACTGTATGCTGATCCCACTTTCTCCTCTCAGAACAAAATGGAAATGAGATATTAAAAGTGTACAGAAACCTGAGCAAGTGTGAATTTACTTACATTTTCTTCACTGTCACAGAAGAGTATCTGTATGTAGATCTATCTATCTCTATATAAACATACAGAGAACCACATTTATCATTATCCTTCTATCTTTTACTGCCTTCAGAGTTATCTCTTTCAGATACGCTATTGCTTCATCCTGAATTGCATGTCTGAGATTTGGCATAAGGCTTAAGCCAACACCTTCAGTCAGGTTTAGAGAACAAGCCATTAAGAAAAGTTACTTTTTGTTTTTTTTTTTTTTTTTTTTTTTTGTCATGTTCCCTCAAGATATATTAAGAATGTGTACTCTTCATACTACAATCTCTTAAGTACCACACTGTCTGAAATGTAAGGTTATCCTTACTCAGCCATCAAAAATAAAACCAACATTTATACTAACAATACAAATACATATCTCACCATCTTCTCAATTCCACGGCCTACCTTCCTGCAAAGTCTCAGGTAAACACCCCAGAGTATTCTCTCCACAGCAAGCCTTCCTGATAGTCCACTTCCCAAGATGAATGCAGCCACTAAATGAATGCTGGGAGCTCTGTTCCTCTCCCCATTGTGTAACATACACCAGACACCACAATGAATCACGACCTTGGCAGGAGGATGGATGTTTTACTCCACTGGTGTCATCTGTGCAGAGCTGCCTCAGATGTGGCCATGTTAATTTAGGGAACATGAGAGAACAGGAAAAAGCATCAGGAGGTTAGGAGCAAGAGGTCCCCCCTACATACCACAAGATGTTTTGTGTCCACCTTAAAACCTCCTGCCTTGAAAACTCTAGAAATGATCTCCATCTTTCCAACATGGATTTGATGGCTCCATCAGGCAGCTCATGCCAGTAGAGGGCATCTCTGAGACCCTCAAAGGAACTATGGAATTCAACTAGACCCCACGGCACCACCTGCAAGCACAGACTGTGTTTGACTTTTTCAAACGTGAACATCTTATAAAACTCTTCTATGAGATAAAGGCAATTAGTCATGATCACTAATATTAGCTTACTCTCTGACACACAGCAACCACATCCAAACTGCCTAAAGGCAACAGTCCTTGGCCAACGATGATTCTCTTCTGCATGTCCTCTTATGTTTCCTCCACTGTTGCAAAGGCATTTTGACACAACTTGGATCATTCACGCCAAAAGTTTTTACTGCTTATCATGGGGATGCATTTATACTGTAATTTCAATGTTGGACTTCCAGATTTACCACAGCCAACTGTGGCATAAATTACTTTTTTTTTTTTTTAGCCATTTTGTACATATGGGGTTTTGTTTGAAAGACAGGAGAGTGAGTGAAGAAAGGTCTAATGCCTGCGTATATTTATAAGTCTTGCTTTGGAAATATCCATGTCACACTTCAATTAAGTTTTAAAAATTAAGAAGTGCTTATGATAAAATCTCAATGAAAGTAGCAGAAACCTTATCAGAACTTACAAGTTCCTGTAGAGGTAGTATGCACGTAGGCAATGCCCATCTATCACCTTAAATAACCAGAACTATTCTGTGGCCTTCAAGCTGACTGGAAGAGTTTGGCCAGAGTCCTTACTTTTAAATCCACCCACTCCCCAGCACATCGTGGCCATCGTCAAACTGCCTACTGGCAAAAGCCCCAAGCTGATAGATTACTCAAACTGTGCCAGGCAATTGTCCTGCACAGGTTGAAACTGTTGTGGAGAATAGGAATTCTGTAATAGAGACACAGCTTCAGAGCCCAGGAACACAAACTGGCACTGCTTAACTATTATCCCCAGGGATAGTCTCCTAGGAATTATTAACGATGGGAATAAATTCCCCAGATAGAGCAAATGAGGCCAAGAATCTTGGTGAATGCCATCTGTTTAGAGAGATGAAGAAACAAGAAGTCAGCAAATCATTTCTTTTGCTTACCTGGAGCTATTCTTTCTTCTGGTGATGAGACTAACAAGACAGGTTTCCCTAGACTGCTTCCTTTTTGCAGTCCCTTGTCTGCCACATGTGTCTCTGCTTGCCATCTCTCTCAGCCTTGAATCATTGACATCTGACTTCTCACTTGTCCCTTATGCAGCTGACCACAGCTTTCCTTCCACGACTCCTTCCTCTCCCTAAGGGGACCTTTTACAACCTTCATATTTACATGAGTATCTTCATCCCACTCTTTGAGGATGCTTGTGCCTTTGGCCTTTTCCGTATCTCTGGGTCTGTATCTTTTACCTCTGGACTTGTATTTTCTACTAATATAGCATAGCTACTGTGCTGAGGACCCACAGATCTATCTCAAGCTTTTTGTCCATATTGAAATCCTGGTGCCTCACTCGCACCTTGTGTACAACTCAAGCGTGGCATGGCTAAAATAAAATGCTTTCTCTTCACCTAATAACTTCTGTTTCTTGACTACTACTGGTGACACTACCATACAGTGCTTTCTCGAGATTCTCACACAGAGATGCTAATAATTTTGCTCCATGAACAACATATCTAATACACAACTCTTCTTCATTCAGAGAACTAAAACTCTCACCTAAACACTGTGTCTCAATTTACTGATTAAGAATTTTCTTTTTCAGATCTTGATGAATGTGATCTAGACACTCTCACCCATTCACAGAACTTCAGTAAATATAATTTCCTAAGTCTACTGCTTCAGCTGTATCACATTTTCAAGTAATTCCTCAGGACCTCCTTTCCTTTTCACATCAAGCAAATAGCTGTCTTTACCTCTAAAGCAGAATCATATCTATGACCTCTTCCTTGGCAGTGAAGACAGCTTCTCTCTGAGCAGCCCATCATTTCAGATTCTGTTATCCACTGACTGAATTAACCTTTGCATTTTTTTTGTCATTTGGAGGAATTCCTGGTCAGCCTCCATCTCACTGTTCTCCTTCTAAACGCTTCTTAAACTGTCCTTTACTGAGCCAGTAGCGGTGAAGTCTCAGCAACGAGGACCTACTATTCATTATGCTAATGTAATTTTATTATTTTCTCATACTCTTCCGGTCATTTGCTTTATCATTTCTAGTCCATCTTGTAAGCTAGATTTGTTATCTACGGCAAAAATAACTACATGCTTTTTGCCTGAAAATATGCACTTAACTTGTAACTACCTAAGTTAATGTTTCATGCCACAGGAACCCACTTAGCTTGCATCCTAAAATGAAACATCGATGCAGATGGTAGCTTAACAGATATAACGAATTTCAGGCAGAGATTTACCATTAAAAAGCTTTTTAATTAAGGTCCTTCCCTCTGCTCCTCATTCCCACCTGGTTCCCAGAAGGAAGCAGGGGGTGACGAAGCTTTCGGAGGCCCCGGCAGCCCTGTGAAGGCCGACCGCCGCCAGTGGCTGTCCCAGCGCAACTCCCCTAGTCCTGCTTCCGTGGAGCAACACGGACGAACCAACACGTGACACTGTTAACACGGAGCTTTTTTAATTATTAACAAGGACAGACTGAGGGAATTCTCTTTTCCTCCCCCCCCCAGCTGCACGCCGCTCGCCGCGCTTCCAGCGGTGTCGGAAAGAGCCCGCGGTGCGCGGCGGCTCCGTCCCGCCTCAAACGCCGGGGGCGGGAAGCGGGATCGCCGGCCCCCTCGGCCGCCGCTCGCGCCCCGCCGCCCACGTGACTTCCTCCCGCGGCCAGGCGCTCCCCACCCGGCACCCACCGCGGCATAGCGCGGGGGAAGGGGCCAGGCTCTCTGAAGAACCTGCCGGGAAAGGCAGTGCTTTCTCCCCCCCCCAGCTCCCTTCCGCCTCCCGGAGCGCGGCGAGCCCGTATCTTTCTCCTCCCCGGCTAACGGCACCCTCCCTTCCGCCAGCGCGACTCCCCGTTGGTTGCCGATCGGCCCAACCCGGGAGCTCGGGCCGCGCCGCCGACCTGGCGCGGAACTTCCCACCAGTGGCGCGGGGGGAGGAATTGAAAGCACGCCAGTACCTTGAGCGGGATCATTGCAAGCATGTGGCCAACCACTCCCCCCCCTCCCCCCGCTGGGGGGGAGAAATGGTTCCTCCCGTCACGCGGGCCGAAGGACGCGGGGCGCTCCACCCCGCCTTCCCCCCGCCGCGCGTGCGCAGCGGCGCGGCGCCCGGCTCACGTGTTCCCCCGCGTCCGGCGATCATGGCCGCCCTGCTGAACTGCGCCGGGCGCCTGCGGGCGCTGTGCCCGCGCCTCCTGCCCCGCCGCCCCTCGCCCGCCCCCGCCAGGTGAGACCCTGCGCCCCGGGGCTGCCCGCTGCCCGCCACTGCGGCGGGGCCGGCGGAGGGGGCGGCGGCGGCGGCGGCGCCCTCGCTGCCCAAGGGCACTGCTGGCGGGGCCGCGGCCCTTGGCCCTGGCTGCGCCGCCCCCCGGGGCTGATGGCGAGAGCCCTGCAGCCCGGCGGCCTGCCGCCCCTGTGCGCGGCAGGGTTCGCTCGGGGGCAGAGGCCGCGGGGAGCCGCGGTTCCCTCTGGCGGGGGTGGCGAGGGCGGGCAGGCGCTTCCACGGCGGTGTCTCGTTGGGCTCTTGGCGAAAGCCGAGCGCTCCCCTCTCCGTGAGGGGCAAGGGGTACGGTTCTCCGGAGCATCCCGCTGTCGCAGGGCAGGCGGTGCGGAGTCGGGGAGAGACCCGGCGGGGATCAGCTGTGATTCTCCGCGCAGTTGGAATCTGGGCTTCTTCCCCCTGCCCCTCAGGCTCCGCGGTGTCTGTTCCCAGGAGGAGTATCTTAATTCCTTTTCTGTGCTTCCCGTTCTTCCCTCACGCGGGTAGGGTGGAAAACTCACTGCACCTGTCTGCATCCCAGTCGCTGTTTGGACCACTGATAGGCGGTTGGTGCCCTGCAGGAAGTTTAGAGGCACAACACCTCCTTAACGAGTACTTTTTTTTTTTTTTTCTTTTAAGTTAAAAAAAAAACCAAAACAAAACAAAAACAAGAAACCCCTAGTTTTGTGAGAGCCAAGCTTTTGTTCCAGTGGTGGTGCATTGCTTCTCCACATTTGGTATGTTTTTTGTCTTGACCACTTACCTCTTCGATGTAGAAATGCAAAAGGCTCAGCCCTGAATGCATGACAAAATGTGTCAGAATTCATGTTTCCAGCAAACATGATATTTTAGGGGTTTTTTTGCCTGTACTTTTTTCTAAATGAATCATGAGAGCAATGTTAGCATTCTGTTATACAGGCAAGCAAATTGCTTCCATAATTTTTTTCTTAATTGTTTGTCCTAAGGAGGAAGCACCTTGTCCAGATGAGAACTATGTTAAAGAGTTTGTTATTGATTTTTAGTATTTCATGTAGTGAGTATGGTATTACAACTACATGCAAACTTTTTAAATATTAAGGGTTAGTTTATTGTCAGCAAGTTCTCAAACTGCTTGTGAATGAGAGAAAAGTTTGTTGATGACTTCTGAGCCTTGATGGTGTTAGATTTTTGGTTTCCACCATGTCCAATTTCCAAGTTTTAGGGAGTTGGGAATGGGTTGAGATGTTATAAACGATTATAATTTTCATTTGTTATGATTACAGTTGTTAACTAAAAATTTGTATAAAATTAATTAAAATAATTATAAGTAATTTGTAAGTATAAATGCCTGGCTAAATAGAAGTTTAGATGTGTTTCCTCGAAGAATATGAATGCTTGTTGTATTTTTTCCAGTGTTTGCAAAACCTAGTGAGGATCCAGTGCAGGTGGGTGGGAAGGGGCTTGAGCCTCGTAGCTCTGGTGGTCCCTCTTAAGTGAATGTAACAATGCCTAATAGAAAACCAAAACAGTTTTCTGCCATTCTAGATAGATTAATATGTTCAGCAGAGAACTTGGTGAGTTCCAGAGCTGGTTCGGGAGAAGGGATGGGAACAGATGAGAGTCAGCAATAGATTGCTCCTAGAGGTTAGTCTCACCATCAGAATAAGATGGTTTTTCCTGCCTGCACCAGCTTTAGTGCTTATCAAACCTATTATGAGCTGATTTTATTCAGTAACTTGGCAGAAATCTTACCTAAAAAAGTATATAGTTTTATGCTGGTTTTAGTGATTGAAGTGTAACAGATCATTAAATGCTAAAGTTGATGTGAAGGATGGAGTAGACTTGTGCAGGAAGGACCAGGAACTGTGAAGACATCTGCTGAATGGTTGGCAACAGAACTACCCAGTTAGTGGCAAATCACGAATAAACTTTTCTACATTGTGGTCATTCAGTCAATATTTTTTTTCCCTCAACTGGAAGCTTAATTTCCTAAATTAGTTTGCTGCAAGTCGTGTTGTTCACAGAACTTCACATATGACTTGATGAAGGACAAACAAGGCTTTTTTTTTTCTAGAACTGCATTTCTGGAAAGAACTTGAAAAGTGCTGTGTGCAATGACAGGTTTGGCTCCAACAGCAAGGTTCTGTTTTTTTGATTGGTTCTCTGTGCACTCCCCACCGATACTTTTTTGTCTTACACCAAACTACACTCTTCTGTATCTTCAGGTATAAACGGGGTCATATGTGGCATAGTTCAGTGGTCATGCTAAAAACCCTTCAATTCTCAGGCTAGGTTTAGTCAGCAGTGAGAAAGGTGCTTGGTGAACATGTAGGAAATGGCAGTGGTATTTGTTTCATAGCTTTTAGATGTTAGTCTAAACTGTGGATTATATTGGAGTAAGACTAAGTAGCACACCTAAATTTATGCATTCTTTCTGTCCAGTAATTTAGTTCCTAAGATAATTTTTCACCTAAAATCTTTGTCTTGCTGTCACTTCAATATGTGGGCTTAGGCATCCTAGTGCACAAGCGATGATTTAGGACCATTTGTGGTCCTAGATGATGCTCTAGTAACATTTATGAACTGAAATTGCATATATAAGCATATAATCTCATTCAAGTTTTTACCTTAAGTAACTATTAATTGTTTGTTTGTTTGTTTTTCTACCTAAGCTTTAGCTTCTGGAAATGGACCTCTTTTGAAGAACTAGAATGGCACATGGACATCGTTTAGATGTACTCGCTGTTCAGATCTTGAGATGGTATTTTGAGAGTGAAATGCAGTTAGCTGCAGTCAATTCCAGAGACCACTGATGAAGTTCTAATTGTAATAGTGGGTAAAAAACCCCACAGTTTTAAGAGTAAATAAATAACAAGGAATAACCCAGCATTTCACAAGAGAACAGGGAAAATGGCAGTATGTTTATATGTGTTTGATACAGTTGCTTTAAAGTCAGTTCAGAGGCAGATATGACACTTTCATTACAGTAGTGGTTTCAGAAGAGTTGCAAATCTGTTAAATTTTTTAGAGATATGAAACTGCAACCATTCACATTCAAGCAGAGGTTTTTATCAAAGCATCGTATTGCTCCGATTTTTCTGGGAAACCCCTACTGCTGAAATGTAGAGTACACACATGGTGGTTGGACTGTTTGTTATGCCTGTGCAATTTTATTACGGATTCACAGAGCATGTTGCTTTTCTGCTCGGAGTCAGTATGATGTGCACTGGACAGAGAAGCGTGCTTCATGCAAAGAACACTTCAAATTCTGTGTCAGTACTTGAAGTGCACTTATGGTGGAGGGATGACTTTGAGCACAGTTGGACAGGGTGGATATGCAAGATTAAGGTGGTTTCCCTGCAGTGACCGATGGTTCCTGTTGTGCTGTTGTGTGTTGCTGCACTGTAGTGGAGCCAATGCAGTATACTGTGGGAGTGTTTCCCATTTAATTTTGTGTTGGTTTAATTTAAACTTCTGAAAATACTTTAGGACAGTAGGTGGATATCCAGTTGCATAGGATGGCTGAGAAGCATTTCATAGCAAACTAGATCTAAGGCAAATTTACTGTTTCACTTGTCTGCCTCTAGTACGAAATGTGAAATACACTGAGCTGTATGTCATCAACTCTCAGTTATAACAAGAGAAATAAGCTATGACAGGCCAATACAACAAACTTCAGATCTACCACAGCACACTTTTGCACTGTGCCAATTTATGTGGTACGGGTTATTTACTGGAACTTTGTTCATAGAAGCTTCACTAAGGGAAAAGATGCTTAAAGTAGGTGCTAGTAACTGACTGTTGAGAATGCTGACATCAGAATATCTTTTTGGTACTCCATTCTATGTACTTTAGTTAATATTACACCCTGCTGCTGTGGGAAAGTGAGTGTTGGGAGGAAGGATATTGGCTCCGTTCTTCCCACACTGACCACCCTCCTGGCCAGCTTATCCTGCTCTAAATCAGAGTACTTCTTGGACCTATTACTCATCTGATTTTGTTAGTTAGAATGCAAGGTAAAATTTTTCTGACAGATGGACACGTTTTATTCGATCAGGTGAAGATCTGATGAACTCTAGAAGGGTGGGACGATTGACAAAAGGAGAAGAAGAAACTCGGTATGATATTAGATTGATTCAGCTGTATTGCTGAACAGCACTTTTAGATGTAAGAGTGCTAGAGTACTCATCCTGATGTCAATACCCTACCTGTCCTCAGAGAAAAGGACAACAATTAGACTTTTAAGTTGTAGATCGTAAACAGATAGTTGAGCAGGAAAATCAAGTGAAATCTCTATAAGCAAGTCTCTCAAGGCATCTTTGGCCTTGCTGTCATTTCTTTAGTTTGAGATTCTCTCCAGTAGGTTTATGTATCAGTTTTTGTGATTGCAGAGAAAAGAGCATCTCCCCAGACAGCAAATTGTGCTTTTTATTCTGTTCCGGGGAGTGACTGCTGAGGAAGTTGCCAAGAGGGCACCCAGTGCAATGCTTTTCAAGTTGTTTTTGTAAAGACTGTTGACTTTTGGTACATTGTGGTGTGTTTGTACAAGATGGAAGCATGTTAGTGAGATGGGAAGGAGAATATCTTTTTAAAGAATCCTTGTTTAGATCTGAGGGATTTGATCTGAACTTTGGATAAGCCATAAGGTAAAAACACAAATGATTCCTGTTTTAATGCATGGCATTTTTTTCTTTTAATTAGCTTCAAACAAGTTGCTTTTGGCTGTTCACAGTCATACTCAGCAATCCATCACCAGTGGATGAAAATCTAGAACTGAACGCTTAATTACCTTACATTAGCAAAATGATAGAATTAATGGGCTTTAAATGCAGAGGAGGCATTCAGTAGATTTGGTTTTGCTAATATTGAAGCAATGTTCTGTTGTAAATTTTCACAAGCTGCACTGTTGTCGTAGTTGTTGTATGTGTTTTACCAATGGACACGAAATGTCTAGAGGCTTCCGAAGAAGTACAACAAAGCAAGGTTTT